ATCTGATGGAGATGTTTAGCTCGCCGAACTGGGTTTCCTCTGATCTGGCTTGTACAAGTCTGTCCATGCATATATGTGAGGTAGTACAAACGGATAGTGCATTTTGGAGTGCTGCTGATAATGTTTTGAAGGTTACAGGCCCACTTATCAGTGTTTTGTATAAATTGGAAAATTATAATTGTCCAGTGAGTGTCCTGTATGATGCCATGGATAGTGCAAAAGAAGGTATAAAAAAAAATCTTGGTCATGAACATGGTAATTACTGGCAGATGATTGATCGCATATGGGACAATTATTTGCATTCCCCAATCCATGCTGCTGGTTATATTCTCAATCCAGGACTCTTTTACACTGACCGGTACCGCCATGATTCTGAAATCAGCAGTGGCATCACGACCTGCATTATCCGAGTGGCTAGAAGTCATTATCATGCATTGCATGTAGCTGAACAAATGGATCTATATCAAAGAAGATCAGGTCTGTTTGATTCAGATTCAGCAATTCAGGAAGCTACTGGAACACCTCAAGGTAAAGGCCAGTCCTGATTCACTGTGTGAACCCCTTTGATCTAAATATTTCAGGACATTTTAATTTGTACCTTTCTCCTGGTTTCCCACCTTCATAGCCTGTCTGTTATTTGATGTGATGCTCTTTTGTGTTGCTACTAAGTGCCGTTATTTCTGGTTTATCCAAACTTTAATTAAACATGTTAGATCTAGTTAGGATGCTTGAACTCCATACCAACTTAAATAGAGCAGGAGTACCATTCTCTAGTGTACAAATTGTTATGTACATGCGATATTGCCTAAGGCAGAAGTCCTGGTTCTTTCCCGCTAATGAATAATGTCATGTTCACACAACAATCTGTACAGCCACAGCTGCGCTCACCTCGCTGCCTGCCACAATTGCTCCTCTGTTCCTTTTGGCAAGTTAATGCCTTGTCATGATATATGTCCTAAGTTGCTTTCATTAAACATACCATGCATGCTTGTCTACTAATCCCAAGGTAGACGCTAATGTTAATTAGTTAACAAAGGTTTGGGTTAAAGAAAGGCCCATGCTAATTTAAGTAAACAATAACTCAGGTTTAAATAATGCCGCGTCCACAGTCATTAAAGCATGATGTTCAGACAAGGAGAAACAGCAGAAAAAACCTGTTTTGCTTGTCTGAAATCTCGTGTTTTATGACTGGAAGGCAGTAGACTAGTAGTTCTGCAATACCCTCAATTCCAAATTATAAGACGTTTTGGCTTTTCTATATTCATAGCTTTTGCTACGCACCTAGATATATGTTATGTCTAGTAACATAGTAAAAGCTATGAATCTAAAAATGGCAAAACATCTTATAATTTGGGACAGATGAAGTGCATTTGATATATGCTAGGCCTTTGCTCCCATGATAATTTGTCTCCAGATGAAATACCGTATCTGATTTTTTTTTTTGTTTCAAGTTCACGATTTGCATGTTGATACCCACTGTTGATATGCTTCGTATTTGTTACCTTGTGTCCCTCCTTAGAAAATGACTAATGCATGTTGCCAACTAAGTTATCTTTCAACTTGCTTAAGTTACCACGTTCAACAGACGTTAGTCTGTGTGCTCTGTGTATTAAATGGTGTAGAATCAGGAATTTGTTTTGAACTGTTACAAAGAATTAAAAAAAGAATAGAATCCTACCCGTGTGATGATAATTTTGTTAAAGGAGTTGTGTCCTTACCTGAAACAAATCGCAGATGTCTGGTGGGAGAGACATGGGAGTGGCACGAAGGAGCTACAATCTTTTGCTGCTCGGATCCTAGGCCAGACATGCTTCGGCGCTACTAGGTACAACCTCGACAAGAGCTTATCCGAGAGGCTGCACACCGAGAAGCGCTCCTTCGCCGATCAAGAGAGGTTCCGCAACATGGAGTACATCTACTACAACCTTCGCCTCGTGAATGCAGTGCCTCGCCTGGAGGGTCCTCCTGCAGCCCAGCATGGTAAGGTCACTGCCCAGCTGAGCGACTGGGTGTCGGCATAGCCCACCCCCTGCTCGCCCCTGGTGGCGCGAACCGGTTTGCGCCGTGGGACGCTGCTGTCTGTCTTTACATACCGTGCTGGGCCTTTCCAACAATTTGGAGGCCTGGGAAACCTGTGTTGTTAAACCTTAGTTTTTTTTTTGGCGGGATGGTTAATTTTCATGTGAGGTTGGATAATTGAAGTACATGAGGAAATGGTTTCGCTGACTAATGACGGTTTGTGTGTTTGTTTTAAATTAAAAACGGTCATCGCTGGTTTTTTAACCCCTGACGACTGGTTGGTTGTGCGTATTGACTCGTGGAATTGCATACTCCTACTGTAGTTCAGCCAGCAGCGGCATGGATCAGTAGTAGCCTGTGTGCTTTTGGGCGGCGTGGCCACGCCTGTTTTCTAGCGTTTCAATGCGCTCTGCTTTGCCTTTGCCCCCTGCTCGTCCCAGCGTCGTCGCAGAGTCGCAGCTCTGGCTTCGGTTGCATCCATACCATCACTCCCGTCGGAACGAATTGAATTGCTACTGCGCCGGCAGGCCGGCCGGCGACAATGGCAGCCGCATGCTGCGTCGTGCCAGGACCTGCACCCGTGCACAGTAGTGGGCGAGTTGCTCTAGCCAGTGTTGGAGTGTCCTGCCTAGTGGATGGGAGTTGTTGCATTTGCTGTGCCCCCAACTACTTCCACTGCCATGCTATCTGCCCAAGCGTCCATGGGATGGGACGCCCAAGTGCCGTGGCCTCGTTTAAGGCCTGTCTAGTTCCAATTTTTTTTTTTCGTAGTACCCATCACATCGAATTTGCGGCACATGCATGTAGTACTAAATGTAGACGAAAAAAAACTAATTGCACAGTTGGGTGAGAAATCGCGAGACGAAACTTTCGAACCTAATTAGTCCACAATTAGACACTAATTGCCAAATACAAACGAAAATGTTACAGTAGCTAAAATCCAAATTTTTTTTCATCTAAACGCACCCTTAGTTTTCGTACGAGGTGTTCGAATATTAATAAAAAAATAAATTACAAACTCTGGCAGTACACCGCGAGACAAATTTATTAAGCTTCATTAATCCGTCATTAGCACATGTGTACTGTAGCACTTTATTGTCAAATCATAAACTAATTAGACTTAAAAGAATCGTCTCGCAAAGTAGTCACAATATGTGCAATTAGTTATTTTTTTAGTCTATATTTAATACTCCATGCATGTATCAAATATTTGATGGGATATGGTGTAAACTTTTGGGGAGGAACTAAACAAGGCCGGCGTTGCCCCCTAAAGTTTACTCCCTATCACATTGAATGTTTAGATATATGCATGGAGTATTAAATATAGACTAAAAAATAACTAATTGCACAGATTGCGATTAATTTGCGAGACAAAATTTTTAAACCTAATTAGTCTATGATTTGATAATGTGGTGCTACGATAAACATGTGCTAATGATGGATTAATTAGACTTAATAAATTTGTCTCGTGGATTACTAGTAACTTATATAATTTATTTTATTATTACTATTGAACACTTCTATGTGACATTTTAAATTTTACTCCTTAAATTTAAACGACACTTTAAACAATCTTTTTACCTGGATTTAAACAGTACCTTAGACAATCTGCTCAAGGAACGTGGAGGACCAGGAGAGCATGATCGCGATTGCTACTACTACTGCCAGGTTTTCAAGTTTGAACTCGGCTGTGGATCTGTGATCCGATCCTTGGGCCTTGTTTAGATACCATTAAAATTCCAAGTTTTTTCATTCTCTTTCTATCACATTAATTTTTAGCTGCTTGCATGGAGTATTAAATGTAGATAAAAAAAATAATTAATTACACAATTTAGTTGGAAATCACGAGATGAATCTTTTGAGCCTAGTTGGTCCACGATTGGACAATATTTATTAAATAAGACGAAAATGATAATATTCATCAGGTTGAAAAAAGTTACAATCTAAACAAGGACCTTGGGCTTCGTAGCCTTAATGCCAGTGCCGTGCCAGGAGGCAAGGCAGGAGCGGCGTCGGGCGGCGTGCAGGGCGGAAGGCTGCCTGGTGGGCACTATCGACGGGAGCAGTAAACAATGGCGGTCGTGGCCTCCCAAAGGAAAAGACGAAAGCCTAGGAAGCGGACAGGCGGGCGGGACAAGGGCTGGCGCGCGTCTCGGGCTCGGCCCTCGGTGGCGCCGTGGCGTGGCTGGACGGGATCAAGATCAAGCCAGCCTTCCCCTGCTGCCTGCTCCTACGGGCTACGGCTACGACCTCTGGGGCTAGCGTCGGCGGCCGGACCAAGCACGGCGCGGTCACCGGCACGCGCATAGGGCCGCCGATCGTGCCGCCGTGCCTCTCGCACCGAGCGCGTAAGCAATGCAGCAGCTAGCCAGCAGGCGTTTGTTTGTTGCTCTCCTAGTGACTGATCCACTGACCGTCCGTCCTCTCCTCTGTAGCGGCAGCCGGCCGGCAGGTGCGTGTGGTGTGACCCATCCCAGTTCCCATGGCACGCACGGCGCAACCCGACAACCAACGCTGGCTTGCCGAGCTTACACGCTTCAGCACAATGCGGGCGACAGCGATGGTGCTACTGCTATCGATGTCATCGATTCATCGTGACGGCCAAATGCGCCGGCCGAGCCCAGGTGTGAAAGTGGAAGTGTGGACCGAGTAGAGGAGTAGCTTCGGTTGGGTCTGCCTGCCTGCCGTGGGCGTGGACGGTTGGAAGTGCGCGAGCGCGACCACCTCGAGTGGCACGCCACCGTAGCCCCGCCCGCCGGCCGGACCAATAAGCGACCGTGCGTTTCAAAATTTGAAGACCTGACGAGGCAGTCAAACCAAGCGAAGATCTCCCGTCCCGTCGCCTCGCCTGGCTGCCGCCTCCCTGCACCCTGCTCCTGCTGCCGCCGCCGGCGGTGTCGCCTCTCCTCACTCCGACCTCGCCGTCTCGGCCCCGAGACGGGGGGAGCCCGTCAGGGTGAGGCCGGCACGACACCGCCACCATGCCGCTGCCGCTGGCCAAGGCGAGGAGGGGGTTGTCCCCGCAGCCGGAGCCGCAGCCGCAGCCCGCGCGGTCGACCTGCAGGTCGCAGCTGGAGCAGGACGTGAGTCACCGATCCCCTCTCCCTTCGCCCATGCCTACTCTCACTCACGCCCTGACATGGAATGCACGCGCGCCCGCGCAGGTGAAGAGGCTGCGGAAGGCGCTGCAGGAGGAGACGGCGCTGCACGCCGTCCTCGAGGGCGCCCTGGGCCGCGCCGCCGTCACGCTCGCCGACATGGCCTACCTCCCCACCAACGTACGCCCGCACGCCCGCAGTTGGTTTGGCCTGGCCTGGCTTCCCCGGCGGCGGTCGCTGACATTGGACGGTCTCTCCTCTCTCTCATCTGCAGGCGCAGGAGCTGCTCTCCAACATCTGCATCCTCGAGACCGCGGTCACGAAGCTGGAGGAGGAGATGGTCTCCCTGCACTTCCAGCTCATCCAGGAGAGGAACGAGAGGAGGCTCGTCGAGTACCGCCTCAAGCACCTCCCCCCGCCGCCGTCCGCTTGCTCCTGCCACTCCGGGAAACTCGGACCAGATGTACGAATTTCTCTGCTCATCGACATTCCTGTTCCTGCTTAATAATCGTAACATTCATTTAGACTGCAAATAGTAGAGCGTAGAGTAGGATAACATACGGATTTCATCTTGCTGAATCAGTTTGTACTACTATAGCATTAGCCACTGCATTCAGTTCTGTCTGTAAGAGATGGAAATTCTGTGTTGCTTTCCAAAAACGTGCTGTGTCCTTCTAAAATAGTCATGCCAAATACCTTCACCTACCATTCTGATCTCAACGCATCATTTCCTGACTAAATTAAGGAATTCCATGTTTCAAATTTAGCTCAGTGATTATCTTGGTCCGTCTCTTCACTGTGTACATACTTTCATGTTGCTACCAGGATACCACAGGCGAAAAATGCAGTAGCCAAGGGGTGGAGGTTTATCCTCGTGCTGTCTTGCATGAACAAGCTGTGAAACTACAGAGACAGATCTCTGTTAAAGGCTTTGCCGATCCTAATCAGCTTTCTGAAGACATCGTCCGCTGCATGAGGAATATTTTTATTTGGCTATCAGATTCCTGCAGGGACTCCTCAAGGAATTCCTCCATGGAGAATCAGCAGTCCATTCCATCTCCCACTGGGAATTATTCAATTTCTGCCTTCTGGTCTTTGTCGGAACCGTCGTCCATATCTTCTTGGGTACAGAGCCCTCAAGTGGATTTGAACTACAACAATAATCTATTAGCTTCAGAGACTGTTTTTGACCCTTACAAAGCCCGTGAGAAGCTTAGCTGGGCTGACATAGGCAGCTACAGTGCATCGGCAGAAGTTTCATGGATGTCAGTTGGGAAAAAACAACTTGAATATGCAGCGGAGTCACTTCGCAAATTCAGGTAACGTGTCAAAGCAATATTTGTAATACAATATTTGTTTGTGACTAACTGAAATTATGACAATTGGTGTACCAAATCATACTATAATCCACTGGCTTTAGCTCCACGATTCAGTAATTGCCTCTTTAGTACCACATTGCCTTTTATTTCAATGCCATTAAAGATGAGCGCCTGTTGCGTCCTTCATAGTATTGGCGTTGATCCAACAGTACTAATGATCGCCTATTAGAGTGCAGATTGTTCATTGAGCAGCTGGCAGAAATAAACCCTATTCACCTCAATGATGATGCAAGGTTGGCATTTTGGATCAACTTATACAACGCGTTGATGATGCACGTACGTGATTTTGAAAACTTTAGTTCTTATTAGGGTAGCTGAATGTGTGGGAGGGCACATGTTGAACATTTGTGACATTTTTTTTATCCCTTTACAGGCTTATCTTGCTTATGGTGTTCCACGAAGCGACATGAAACTGTTTTCACTGATGCAAAAGGTTTGCTAAAGGAACCAATTATACATGCTAAGCTTGTTTGAGAAAAAAAAGATTTGTTCCTATGTTAGTTGGGAGTGGGATCCTGGGACTCTTAAGTAAATAGCATGTCAGCAATTCAAGATTTCCATTTTTTTTGCTTGTTGTGTGACATGCTTTTATTTCTGGAGAATCATATCATTAATTCATTATACTTGTTTTCTCTCCAGGCCGCATATACAATTGGTGGGCACTCATTCAGCGCTGCATTTATTGAATATGTAATTCTGAAGATGAAACCACCAAGTCATAGGCCACAGATGGTATACCACTTACTGAAAACCTTGCAGGGCATTTAGCTGACAGTGCTTCTTATTTCGATTTCCTTCAGCTAACCAACACAAACCATTAAAAGTTATTGCTGTCTTTGGTTGAAGGCCCTGCTTCTTGCCCTTCAGAAGATTAAGGTACCTGAGGAGCAGAAAAAATTCTGCATTGACGGCACCTGAGCCACTTTTGACGTTTGCCCTCAGCTGTGGAATGTATTCTTCTCCCGGGGTAAGCTCAGAGCATTTTCCTTTGGTTTCCTTCATCTGACACCAAGATTAGCACTATATTTTTTGTTGACAAACTAGTTGATTTGCTAGAATGCCTTTCATGATTGTCCCTAGCGCAAAGATTTAATGGTTGACAAAGGACTAATTATCACTGTAGGTGAAGATATACACAACAAACAATGTGAGGGAAGAACTTCAAGATGCACAGCGTGATTTCATTAGAGCATCGGTAGGAGTAAGTCGAAAAGGGAAGCTTCTTGTCCCTAAGATACTACACTGTTTTGCCCGTGGTTTTGTTGACGACAACAGCTTCCCTATTTGGATCTCGCATTTTCTACCTCAGCAGCAAGCTACATTTGTCGATCACTGTGTGTCTCAAAGGCGGCAAAGTCTCCTGGGCACCCGTACTTTCGGCATCATTCCATTTGATTCTCGGTTTCGCTACCTCTTCCTGCCAGATACGGGATCTTTAAATTAACTGCCATCCGAGATTCAGATGCTTCCTTGCCCAGATAACATGAATGGTAAACTGTACTAGCCTTTAGTGTTTTTTGACTGTTATATATGAATTCAGTCACAACAAAATGTGATTGCCTTCAGCTGATATATTTGCATGTTTTCAGACAGCCTAATCGCCAGCAGGAGAACATAAACAACACAAGTGACAAAGTCCAAGCCCTGATGGACAGTTGAAACAGTGTAATAGCTGTCTCTCGAGTTACCAGTATGTCTGGAAAAGTAAGTTTATATCCAAGGACCATGGGAGTCTCAAATTTGAGAAAGCAGTCATTGGATTGGCCCGTGTCATTGGAAGTCAGATGTATATCCGTTGGAATAATTGGTTCGTCTTCCTTGACATCTTGTCGAGTTTCATGAAAAATCTGTACATAACTCCTACTTCCAGATAAAAACTTAAGTTCATCATGGCTCTGACAACATGTATATCCACATGCATAGGGCTGTGCGCACAGACCCTATTATCGTGTATGAGCTAGAATGTAATATTAGACAAGTCCAGTTCATGAGAATTTAATCTCCATAGCCTATACCCTCCATTTGCATTAATGATATATCAAGATTACTACACTGCATTCCTAGCAGATTTTCTCAGTTTGTTGAAAAAAAGGTATCAGCTAGCAAATGTCCCTGGATCCAACTGCATGTGTTACTGACTAACTTACTGTACCTTATTACCCTTGTTGCCTCTGAAATTCTGCTTTTGGAGGCCCGGCAGAAAAACTGGATCTCAGTCCAGCCTGCACTGCAGCCATGACAGTTGCTTCAAGAGCTTTGGACTTGACATGTTACTGAGTTACTCTGTCGCCTCAGGGTCCATCCTGCCCATCCTTGATGCGGTTGCAGATATCCGAGCACTCTATCAGGCTAATAGAACAACAAACTGATCAGACTTGAGCTCGCTGTTTGTGAAAGAAGAGGGAGCTGCAGGTACCCACCAATACTGCCGGCTGCGGAAGCCGTCCTTGAACACCACGAGGGGCCTGCGCGGCACAACACAAAAACCCAACGTGAACGACGACATGGACCAGGTCAAGTGAAACGTACGCACCGGCAGTAACCGCCCGCCGGTGCAGGTTCGGCGGCTGGTTTACCTCCTGACGTTGAGCGGGCCCTCCCCGGGCGCGCCGCCGCCGCCGCGGATGCAGGTGCCGACGCACTTGGTCGTGCACTGCAGCGCCTTGGCTGACCTGGGGTGCTTGATCCGCTCCTGCTTCCCGTCGCCCCCTGCTCACCAACTCCTCGTCAGCACAAAGGTTGCCCGCTCGCTAAGCGGAAGCGTATTTGCACGAACGCACGCACGCACCAGAGAGCGTGGGCGGGACGTTGGAGAAGGTGTCCGCCTGGGGCGCCGGCGTCGACAGGATGGCCGCGAGAGCCAGCGCCACCACGGCCTGCGCCGCCGGCGCCGACATCCCCCGGGCCGTATGGCTGGCTGTGTGGCCTCGGCTCTCGCTCAGGCGACGCGCCGGGGAGACGGTGGCACAAGCACAGGACAAGAGCGCGCGCACCGTGGCCTCGCGGAGTCCAGGTAGAGAGCTGTGGCCTGTGGCCACCGGCCAGCCACCCGGATCAGCCTCGCTGGCTGCCGAATCACCAGCACCACCAGTGGGCCTGCGACTGGGAAGGAAGACACCTGGTCCCGGGCTAGGCCGGATCTTTATCGGGCCTGCGGCACCCAGCCCAGCGCTTGCATCTCACTCAGGCCGAGGCCCAAGAGGAGGACCCCGAGTCCCCGACCACTATTGCACCGCGGCCCACGTCGCGCAGGACTCCCACGGCGTCCGCCCGCGTCGCGTGCCACGCCGGCCGCCGCGGGGAAGGAAAAGCGAGGAGTCCCTTCCCTTCTGCTCCAGTTTTACCAAGTCCCGTGCGTCGCGTCCACGCGAGTTCCGTGCGCGGCGTGAAGGAGCAGGCGGTTGCAGTTGGAGGTGGCGGCGGCGAGCGGGGACGAAACCCTAGAGCTTGAGCTCCAGCGCACGGTTCGGGTCCACCTCCCCGTTCCCGGCGATGAGCCGGCGGCAGGAGCTCTGCAGGAACTTCCAGCGCGGCAGGTACGGGGTCTTCTCCTCCCCTCTCCGTTGCCGCGGCATGCCATTGCTTCCGCTTTTATTTCAGTTCAGTCGCTTTGCTCGCTCTGTATGCCCGTACCTCGAATTTGCGTAGTTCTGTGGTTTTCATTCACGTTCTCGATGGCGCAGCTGCAAGTACGGAGCGCAGTGCAGGTTCGTGCACGCGTCCTCTCAGCAGCAGCAGCAGCAGGCGAAGCCCAACCCGTTTGGGTTCGGCTCTCAGCAGCAGCAGCAGCAGGCGAATCCCAACCCGTTTGGGTTCGGCTCTGGGAGCAGCAGCAGCAGCAGCAGCAGCAGCAGTCTTCGTTCGGTGTGCAGTTCCAGCAGCAGCAGCAGCAGAAGCCCAATCCGTTTGGATTTGGAGTACAAGGTGGTGCGGCTGCGAAGTCCAGAAACGCTCCTGGCCCGGCAAAGGTTTGTCTTGTCTGATTGATATAAGTAATCTGTTTTAATGAATCGTTCTCACTTGTGGGGAATTCAGCTTGTGTAATGGTGTAATGGGTGCTCTTGTGTGTGACTGATGGATTTTGTCGAATCAGCCATTTCAAAATAAGTGGGTAAGGGACCCCTCAGCTCCGACGAAGCAACAGGAAGCGGCGCAGCCTCCACCAGCAGCCCACACGTGAGTCTGCGATTCTGGAGCGCTGTACTTTTGATCCTCCTTGCTATATGTGAGTCACCAACTTTGTGATTTTTTTTTGCCAGCTCCTGTACAGATCCTGAGTCTTGCAGACACCAGATTGCTGAGGATTTTAAGAATGAGACTCCACTCTGGAAGCTTACGTGTTATGCTCACCTCAGGAGGTAAATAAGTAACTCATTGTGCTTCAACCAGTGGCCTCTGCCTCCCTCAATGCAGTTGCACTCATCTTTTTGTATTATGTTTGCATTAGTGGTCCTTGTGACATCACTGGGGATATTAGCTTTGAAGAGCTGAGAGCTAAAGCGTATGAGGAAGGCAGGCAAGGGCATCCTCTGCAGTCAATAGTAAGCTTGGCACTCCCAACTTTCTTACCATTATCTTGTTTTGATTTGATTGGAATTTTCCAGTTTGAAGTATGTGATCTTGCACATTGAAATATGTGATAAAACATTCCTACAAGGCTGCAACTGTTCACCTGCACTATCCTGATATCAAGAGGGCCATGGAAATCGTATATCATTAATTGTATGAATATCGTAGGTGATATTAACAAATGTTTGTGATATTGTACCTATCTGTCTCTTATTCCTGCTTGGTTTTCTAATGGTAGAGGAATGCAAAATGTACCTTTCTGAGCAAGATGACCTGTATTTATCAGAAAACATTTGGAGTTGCGCCTTTTTTAGCAACACAATACTATTTACTTTAGTTTCTCTTATATACTGTATATTTTAGTCATCATAAATATGATCCTTGACGAATTTTATCAAAATGAACTCTAATTCATTGGTTTCCTTTCTTCAGGTCGAGGGTGAAAGAAATCTGCAAAATGCAAAGCTGATGGAGTTTAATAACTTTCTGAACAATCCACGTCTATTAGTAACACAAACTCCAAGCTTTCCAACTGTGGCTTCCTTCCCTGAAGTAAAAAATAATAACTCATCATTTGGGGTCTCTCAAAATAATGGACCACCAGTGTTTAGTAGTTTCAGTCAAGTTGGAGTAGCAACTAATGTTGGACCTGGGTCCAGGTAATGTTTACATGATCATCTTGGAGTATGGGCAGTAATGTTACTGTTAATTTGTTGAATAACCTGATGATTCCATCGGAAAATCAGTGGTTTTCAACATGATCTACAGACATTATTATGCATTTTGATCAGTCTGTTTCTTCGTGCATGTGCCATATTAATTTCGAGGAGCTATCTCATGCAGAACTACACCTGGAGTCCCAGTCAATAATATTTTTGGTCAATCTAACCAGACGAGCCATCCAGCATTTCCTGCACCTACTTTTGGCCGTTCTGATATGAAATTTGGAGTTTCAGGTATGCATTATTGATTAACCAATGCAATTACACTGCTACCCTTTATTCAATCAACTTGGTACTTGGTCAGTCCAATTCTGAGTAATATATTTTGTGTGATTGTGTCTATCCATGTCTAGATGGTCTTTAATCATTCTGATTCTTGACTCTTTGTTAACTTTTTGGCATACATTTGTAAAGAAGTAACCATGTGGTAAGTTGCTAATGTATGCTTAAAGATTTGAGGATAATCCTGTATAGGAAGCACATACTTTTAACTTATATACAACTTTTTTAGGATTTGGAAGCCAGATATCACAGCAATCATCTGGGAGTTTGCAAGCCTCAAGCATGTCCAGTTTTGGCAATTTCCCAAAGGCTCATGGTGGCTACCAGCAGTCCCCTTCCTCCTCTATCCATCACAGAGACATTGATAGGCAGTCACAAGATTTACTTAGTGGAATTGTGGCTCCTACAAGTGCCACGAACCAAGCTTCTGTTGAGTAAGTTCTTCAATAAGATGTACACACTTGAGTATGTAATACACAGAGGTTGAGTACATGCCTTTTTTGCGCCCCCAAAGGCCTTTCTGAAACCAACCAATCAGACTTCAATGGTCACGTATATATGCTTGCTTTTGTTGATTAAATTAGTGAACTTTGGAATTATTGTATTGTATGTGACATGTGAAATTTCTTGTTGCTTATATCTATTTTCTCCCTATGTTTATTCAACAGGGACAATAAAAATGAAAATCAGGATGATAGTATCTGGTTGAAGGAAAAATGGTCAATTGGAGAGGTATGGAATACTTCCTCGTGGCCCTTGTTGATGATCTTATTTCTAAACTTGTTTGCCGATAGACATTACTATTCCTGATATGGCACATGTCTGTGCCTGTTTTACAAATGACCTGCCATTCAGTTGACAATCATAGATCACCCACATGTTGTTGCATGTGATGTACAATTGTGTATGATATGCAATTACCTCTAGCTTCTGAATCAGTGCCGATTGCAAGATGTTAGGTGTATCTTGCTGTATTTATTTTTTTTTTCTTGTTGAGCACCAGTTAGATGTACTGATGTACATTTGTCATGTTTTTCTTTTTTTCTCTAAAATTTGAACTATTGTGAGACTTATGTTAGGACATAAATTCATGTCAGTAAGAATTAACCCATGTTGTTTTAGTTAATTGAAACCCGAAATTAGTTATACTTATATGTTTGACTATTGATGGGAACCTGCTTATTTATATCGCTACATGTATATGTGATCATATTTAGTGGGAATAAATAGCTTTTGATTCACATGAAGTGTTTTTCAGATCCCGCTGGGTGAACCACCACAGAGGCACATCAGTCATGTATTTTAGGAGGAATACTTTGTGTCGCGGAGCCAGTATCAAGTCAGCTTTGGTGTCTCCTTTCATGTTGTCGAGTTACTATTTTAATGGTACATGTTCTTTGGTTCACTTTGTTCCATATGAAAACAAAAATCTTAACACCATATTTCATTCCATTATTTAATTTTGTTGCAGGTTTATAGCCATAACATCATGACAAACTGGAGGACAGAAAATGCACATGAAAGACTGATTAGGCAACATAGAAAATTGTATCCGACATCACATACTCTGCAGTATAGTGTTCCTTTTCATTTTCTTTTTAACTCCATGTACTTATTCGTTAAATCTAGGGTTAGCAATGTCTCGATTGATTCTCTCTTTTAATCTACTTTTCTTACCCTTAAGTCTTTGTATGCTTAGTTTGGAACTGATGGAAAAGGAGCAATCAGAACTATCATATGGTTATGACACGTGCCCATCAAACTGAATGTTTCAGTGCAGATTTTTGTAGCCCTATGACTACCATTGATTTCATAACTTAAGGTGTGACTGGGCCAGATAACATCAATTTGTTAGCACATCCCTCCGCCGATGGCATAGAACTACTTAATCTGGGTACGAACTAGATTCACACGACCTATACTTAATCTGGGTACGAACTAGATTCACACGACCTATACTTAATCTGGGTACGAACTAGATTTACATGACCTCACGAGGAAGAGAAAAAGATCTCGAGCTTAGCAAGCAATTAGATGGGAAAATGGTGAAATTGGAATTGGGAAAGCAATTAGATGGAGAAATGGTGAAAATTTGAATTGGGAAATGGAGTTTGTTCTAAAGAAAATGGTGAAATTGGAATTGGGAAATGAAGATGGTTTTAGAGAGAGACTAGAGGGAGAGGAACTAGATGAGGGAGATGAACATGGCGAGTGTTCAATTGAACTACTGTTTTTTTAGGGGAGCTCTGACTTTATTCAATCAGCAAAATAAGAATTACAAACTCCATCAGGAGGCTCTAAAAACCAAATATATCTATCTATCGTTAAATTTACAAAGCTTCTAGCAACTAGATTAGCGTCAACATTCGATCTTCGCCCTTCAAAGAAAAAATCTGCTCGTGTGAAGCTCTATCTCCTAGCATTGATCTCCGGGACGATGGTTCCGTACCTGCCGAACCCCTCACCCTTGAACCTCCTCACCGCTTTGGCACAGTCGCTCGCTACCAAGAACGAGTGCAGGGTCGCTAGCCAAGGCAAGCCCTTTATGGCAAGCCATCACTTCAACCACCTCCGCGTCATTGTACTCTGCAAGGTCCATATTCTATTTATTGTTATTATTTATTTTTTTGGAAAAAATCAGCAGAGCGAATGAATGGAGGCAAAAAAAAAAAATCCAAAACAATAAAAAGAAATCGGGCGAAAGGCCCAAAAAAATCAAACAGATCAGAAACCGAAGCGTACACGCACCAACAGAGGAAAAGAAAATTATTATTTATTTATTAGACCGTATAAGTAAAGAGGGCCAGACGAACACAAAACCGAACAAAAAAATTAGAGTGCGAAAGGGGATTAGAGCTAGACGAAAAAAATATGGCATAAAAAATTGTAATATTAAGTATAGATTAGAGTAAGATTTGTCTAGTTTTTACTTTTACTCTTTTCTAGTTGGATTAGGATTCCTATCCAGCTTACTCAAAATCCAAGTGATTTACTTGGATTAGGATTCGAATTCCTATCTATAGGTTAGCTCAAACCTGTGTCCAAGTCAGGCATCCACATTCACTGAGTTAGTTTGGGGAGGTAGACGAAAAAATAGGTTGAAATTTTGGCGTTTTAATATTAGATATAAATTGGTATACATAGAATAGTGTCATACATGACATAAGTGCATTTTCTTACATCAGGGATACTTTTGGTCATTTCGTATGTCAGTTAACGGTGTTAGCCTTGAAAACTAACGATAGTGTCATGTAGGGAATGAAATTTAGAGGCAGTGTTGATATAGGGAATTCTGAAGTTTCTAGGGACAGAGGGGAAATAAGTGAGTTTCCAGTGTCATACAAGGAATTTTCTCTTATGAATATACCATACAAAATTGGAACAAAACACAGAAGGTAGAAGAGTGGTTCATGAATCTAATGCCTCCGGGAAAAAAAAAACTTAATGTTTTAGGATAGAATTTTTACAAAACATGTCGAAAGTGGCATACAGGGGATTAAATTTTTCTACAATGGCTGACAAGAAAATTTAGCAGTTTCAGTGGTACACAGAGAAGTCACAAAATTTCTAATGGCATTGAGGGAATTGGCTGTTATATATTTGCTCCTGGCTCCTGTAGAGGATCTGCCGTGCATTAGCATTACTGAGGTGTGGGAGCCAATGTTTTTTTTTTTCTAAAAAAAATCACCTCCTTTGATTATTGGTCAATCACCACTGATGCAACAGCATCACGTAGTGCAAGAGGGGGTCAAGCCAGCGTTGATTGAGGGGCAAATGTTTTTCCAGCATGGCGTCAAAATAACAGGACTTGATTGAGAAGCGTTTTTTGGTTGCACACGAATTCATTTTAGGGCTGTTTGGATTCCATGAATTAAAACCAATATATCAAGAAAGTGCTTCTTATTTTATTATTTGTTTATTTTCCAATTCCTCTCAATTCCTGGGAACCAAACGGCGAAATTGACAACCGCACATAAATACCAGTGGTGCTAGTAAGCCTGCGAGGGAAAACGTACATGCAACTCTCAGGTGTTCCAAGTATATGAGGCACCGAGGGAGTGTGAGAAAGGTACATGTTGCCAGATGATGTCTAGCTTATTACAACGCTTCAGATGTTCAACTGCGATCAAATCATTTGAAGGTACAACATTTCATCCGAAAGCCAACACGAATGGAAATCTACATATGGCGACTGTTGTGTGTTGCACTCTCTGTGTTCATCATCCTTCGAATATCTCTTGCAGCATCGCTTCCATCTTGAGTGGACTGATTTTTGGTCTGGTTACTTTTTCATCCTCTATATATTCTGTATAGCCTGGAATGATTTTGTTGGTAATAACTTTGCGTAGCCTTCTCCTGAGCCTAGGATCTGGAACCTTCCACTGCTTTTGGGTGGTGTACATTTTCTGAAATTCAGACTCAAACTTGGACAGCGGGGAGTAGTTTTTCCCTAAGCAAATAGACGTAGGATTGATCAAGCATGACAGTAGCAGTGCCCATGATACTTGTAGATATTTCTCCATATAGCCCTCTATTTTATGAGTGAGATTGACAACTATCTCGGAACGTCGTTGGAGAGAGTACAAAGAAAGGCTGTGTATCTCTTGGATGTAGTATGAGTTGTTGAGCAAGAATAAGAACTTGAGGCCTTGATTTGGAAATGATTCTGATATCTTGGCAAGCTTTTCTTGCAGACAAGACACCATCTCTGTGATCATGCTGTCCAAATGTTGTACGTTTTCAATATGAGGCACATACTTGCCACGTATAGCTGCATCCACTGACGAGTAATTAGCCCACAGGAACCTGATGTACGTCATTACTGACCGAGTGACCTTGTGAATGTCTGATGATCTTGTGGATTTAGAGAACTCGACGAGTCATTGCCATCCTCTAGCAACCTCGTCCTAATCTCCTCCATTGTGCTCATTGTTGCCTCACCCACCTTGCTCTTATATGCTGAAAGGAGGATGGCCATTTCGTTCTCTATCCTTTTAACTTCCACAGAGGATGCCCAATAAAATTGCGCTGCGATCTTGTATGAGACTTCAGACAGAGCGTCGTGCATACCCAGCAGGGTAATTATCTTATTGTATGGTGGCGGCATAACCTCATCCATAGAAATAAGTTCTTCTCCCATATTGGGATCCCAAGCAACTACAACGTCAACAAAAGTGAGCACCTTCAACATGGTTTCTTGGATGAACAGCACCAAATGGTATTGATCCGGAATGCATCTCTCACCCTCACCCACATGTTCTCCTTCTTCATCACAAATACTGGCACTGGGCAGGCCCATGGAGCCACGATCAGGAAAGAGCCTCTTGAAACAGATGGTTTGTGCGATTTCGTAAAGGGCCAAGATCCAGCACTGTGCATCATCAAGAAGGAGTTCCTCCCATACAGATGCACCATCATCGAGGCTGAGAACCCAACCGACGCCAAGCTCCGTGACCCACCTCTCTACGACACTCATGTCAACGCGTTTGATGCTGCAATTCGCTGACGGCGGCGCACTGAAGAATTCCTGGACCAGGCTTCTAATGCGATCCTCGCCCGTTTCTTCCTCCTCTGTTTCTTCTTCCTCCGCTTCTTCCTCCTCTGCTTCTTCACAGCCATCCATGTTGTTGCCGTTGACGTCCCCGTGGATCCCCGAGGAGAGAAAGTGCATGGCCGCCGCCTCCATTGAGATAGTGGAGGGGTGAGAACCGCTAGATGCGTAGGCAGTTGAGAGTCCAGAAACTATGGTACCTGAGGAGCTGCTAACGTTACCCTCCATGCCGGCGCCGCAGCAACCAGAGCGATCTGTCAAGGCCAACAACCTCCCGATCGAGGTTGAGCCGATGTGCGTTGACTTCCGCCGGCCTTCCGGGTTCTAGACAGAAACTGAAGAGGGGACACGGAAAATCTGGACCTTTGTGTAACACAGCGCTATCAGTATACGAGTAGTAGATAAAAGGTGGAGGTTTTCCTAACACGCTTTGCATACCATTCCCGACGTTTTTTCGCCAGGCGCGTTATGACTTATTTGATGGGAAGTTGCTGAGAAACTCCAGTTAACTACACAAGTGGTTATTTATTGGCCTCACTCGATATAATTAATCTAATCATCCCTGGACCCGCATCATTTGTGTTAACCACCGGTGTAGTATAAGTTCAGTCTCAATGAATATTTCATTAGAGTTTCATAGATATTAAATAATTAACTTAACATGACAGAGTATAAATAAAGAGAGATGATAAAATTTTCATGAGATTAAATGGATTTCGTGCCTATGAAACTTGTTTATACCGTTTCTAACATCTGAGAGTCTTGAAAGCAGAGAAATGCTGAGACGGCCTAATAAGGTGGTCTGTGGATGGTTTCCCAACATGCTTTGGCTCCTACTCTCTCTATTCTAAATTATACAAGACGTTTTGTCACTTTAGATTTTTTTTTTGTTATGCACTTAGATATATGTAACACCCCGGTGTTACTTATTAATTAATTATCTTCATCGTTGTCGATGTTTTAACACCGATAGCCTGCCACGGGGGTACCCGGGGCAGTTTGTTCGGACTTCGGCGTATGCAGAACTCGACGGTGAACGCAAGAGACAGTCGATTTATCCTGGTTCGGACCCTCGATCGTTGATCGAGTAATAGCCCTACGTCCAGTCGACGTTAGCCTTGAGTTGGATTGATTGTCAAGTGTTGTGTTTTGTCTCGTAAAGTCCTCTCGTCCCTAGGAACCTGCTCTCCTTTATATAGTCAGAAAGTCAGAATCCTAGTCGGTTTATAATGAGAGTTCCTAATAGGATTACATAATAATACTACTACTAAGATTACATGGGAAGAATCCTAGTTAGACTAGATCTTCTCCCTTTCTTGAGGGGTATCCCGTGGGTCCCGCACCGACAAGCCCCCGAGCACTTCACGGTTGAGCTCTAGTAGCCTCATCTTGTTCCTTCAGGTCTTGCCGAGCAGGAACAAGCGTCGTCCGAGTGCTTTCTTAAGTGAAACCGTGTAGCGCTTCGTGAGATCTTCGCGTGGTGTGTACCTTTTTGAAGAAAAAAGTATATCCATTTGGGTGTAGCCCCCGAGCCTCTTGCTTTTTGGCATAAGGAGCTGGAGGGTCTTCTCTTGAAATTGCTCTGATTCTTCGTCGAAGGGCTCCTGAGCATATACCCGGGTTCTTTATAAAAAAACTCGGATATAGCTTGGTCCGGGTTCTTTTTGTCGTGAGACCTTGAAGTGGTCTGTTTTGAAGAAGTCTTTTTGGTGACGTGCGCTTTTTTGAAGAAAAAAGTGCACTCACTGAGTGCCCGAGCCTCTTGCTATTTGAAACAAAAAGTTTAAGGGTTTTGAATCTTATGTTGTTTGGAAACTGCTGTCTTGAAGAAGTCTTTTGAATGATGTGCGTTTTTTTGAAGAAAAAAGTGCACTCACTGAGTGTAGCCCCCGAGCTTCTTGCTATTTGGAACAAAGAGTTGGAGGGTCTTGATTCTGAGTTGTTCAAGTTACTGAAAACCTCTTTGGTTGCAGCCCCGTCTTGAATCTGAGTTGTTCAAAAGATTGAAAGTCTTTCCTATTGCAGCCCCCGAGCATATACCTGGGTTCTTTTATTCGAAAAGAACTCGGATACAGGATCTTGGCATGTTCTCTGGTAGTCTGCTGTTGTCAGATGTAGTTGTATGGTGGTAGTTGAGAGTAAATGATGTTTGGCCACGAGCTGTACAGTGTTGGTATATTCTTCCGAATATGCTCGTTCTTGAGTACTGCTCCTTCACGCCTGAGTCTTCTTTCATTGAATTCTGTCTTTTCACTGTGTCCTTTGTTAGGTTTGTTCCATTGATGCTCCCGGTCCATGTGCACCGTTTCTTTGGTCTATAAATACCCTCTTGGTGTGATGTTTTGATTCATCGAGCGTTTTGTTACGTGGTCTAAAATCTCCGTAGTCATGAATATGATAGTTTGTGAAGTAGAGCAGCCCCCGGGCGTATTTTGTAGTTCTTGTGTATCTTGTCATAGCTGGAGGGAGTCTTGTGATAGGGATTAGAGGTAGACTAATCCCGCAGCGGCATTATACTTGGAAGTACGTGGCGGTAGTTGGAGGAAGTCTTGTGATGTGGGATACGTTCCTTCATCCAGCAGTTCTGAGTTTATCCTCGTCGTCTGCCCTGAGACTGTCCGGTGCAGATCAACACCATATACAGCATCACATCAGACTTGGGTAGACAGATGCCTGCCGGCTTCCCCTGGTCTATGTTGTCCTACCGTGCTGCTGATTTCCGCCTTGGATGCACTGCGTCCGTCCTTTTAAGAAAACAGTGTCGCCGAGTGCGGTTTATTCTACCGAGTAGCAATTTGGAACACGTAGTCGTTCTAGAGCATAGCTGTGTCCAGATTTCTCTTTGCTACCTTGCTTGTCATAGTACCGAGTTCGTTGGGTCTTGTAAGATGTGTAATCTTCTATTTTTTGAAGCCATTTGTAATGGAAAGAATCCTGTCTTCTGAGTTGTCATTCTTTTTTCTGCTGAAGTCCTGGTTGTTTATGAGATTCCCTAGTTCTTTCTGTAAGAACCGGGTTCTTATATTCCTTGTGAGGTAGCCCTTCGTTGCTTCATGATTGATGGGTTCTTTTTGTAGCAATATGATAACTCCGCTGTGGTGCTGGATGGATAAGTCTGAAATCTACCCGTTGAACTATACCGTTGTGTGGATTTGTGCCGTCCGTCATTTTAGCTGTGTCAGTAAATGGACCGTTGCGTTCTCATGTCGTGTTAAAACGGGCCCGGTGGGCCGCATTTTACTGCTGTAAAATCTATTTAAAGGCATTTGTTCTTCTTTTTCTTTACTGCCTTGCTTTTGCCTTGAAACCCTAGTCTCAAACATTCCGCCACCACCATTGTCACCGCCTGAGCATCACCTTCCCTTAGTGCTTTTATTGCTTCCGCTAGTATATGGGTAGGAAGAAGTTAATGAGCAAGTCCCAGGCAGCCTTTGTGGACGAGGAGGCCTCGCTTTTCGTGATCGAGAATCAATAGTTCATGGTCATGAGGGCCGCTCAGAAGATCTGGCCGGCTCCGACTACAACTGAAGATCAGTTGCGTGAGCTTGTCAGTGATGGTCTGATCTAGAGTAAGGATATTGCTGATTGGAGAGCTCCAGGCGAGCATCGGGTCCCTGCTCCAGGTCCTGGTGAGATTATTCTTTTCGTCTCCTTTATCCGTGCCGGACTTTGCCTTCCGGCTTCTGCTTTTTTTCATTGATTTCTCAGCTATTTTGGGATTAGCCTGAATCATCTTACTCTCAATGTTGTCCTTCATCTTTCTGTCTTTGTTCATCTTTGTGAAACTTTCCTTGGAATTCCTCCTTATATTTCTCTCTTTCGTTACTTTTTTTGTTTGAAGCCACAACCTCGCCGCGATGACACCAGCGTTCTTGGTGGCTGCGGGATTCAGTTTCGCCAGGGTCTTAAGAGCAAATTCTTTGACTATGACCTAGTTGATTCTGTGAGGGATTGGCGTGCCGACTAGTTTTACGCCGCCAATTTGATTCCTCCTCTTGCTATTCATTCTAGATCTAGTCCCTTGGTTAATGACTGATGGGATAAGAACCATATGACGACGGCTGAGGTCCAGGCAATCAAGCCGTTTCTTGAGAGGATTTGTACTCTAAAACAGCAAGACTTGACCGGCTTTGAGATTATTTCTAGTTTTCTTCACCACCGAGTTCAACCTCTGAAGGAGCGGGAAAATTATGGTTTTGAGTACTCTGGGGTGGAGGACCCTTCTCGTATAGTTCCTGCCCTTGAGTTGACTGATGAGGAGGTGCTCGAGCGTCTTCAGAAGATGCTGAAAGGAGTGAGTGTCGTCTCGCTTGCTGTCCTTGAGTACAGTGCTAAGAACCCCCCCCTTGCTGTGAGTTGTTCTTTTCCCATGCGGGTACTTTTTGTGTCTTTTGTTGTATCCACTTTTTGCTTAATATTCTTTTGTCTTGTTGTTTTACTCTTTTCTAGGAATTGGGGCGTAACTTTGCTGATCCGATTCCTCTTGATGATTGCCCTGTAAATGTGGAGGCTGAGGATAGTCTTGCTAGGGCATCCTTGACCAGTAAGTTTCAAACCACCACGATATTTCCTGGCGTTTCTTCCGCAAACCTTGATGTATATGTAGAGTATGTTCCTCGTCTAGTTCCTCAAGCTCCTTGTACTGTCGGAAAGAGGGGGCGAGATGAGGGTTCTTCTTCTGCTTTATCTACTGCCAAGAAGTCTCACTAGTCAAGTACTCGTCCAGGTACTCCAGTTGTAGCTAGCATGCTCTTAGGTGAGCATATTAATACGCTCTGTCTTTTGTTGTTTGTTTTTGTCTTTGACCGAGTACTTTTGTCCTTTTTCAGCTGGTGCTATGGTGGCCTTGGTCGAGAGTAAGGAAGAAGAGGATGATGATGCCGCCCTTGTTACTCGTTGGTGAGTTATTTTCATGTTTTCCTGTTGTTTGAACCCCTCTCTTTGTTTTGACTTTGGTCTTGTTCTCTTGTAGTAAGCGGTCGTCGGGTTCGAGTTCTTCTGGAGCTCCAGTATCGACCATGCCACTCCTATCGCAGGGTGGTGGTGATATCTTTGCTGTGATAGTTCCTCCTCTGAGATCCTCTGTTCGTTCTGGGGATTTTTTGAAGAAGAAGATTGCTAAGTGAGTGAGCCCAGGCTTTGTTTCTTTGCTTCTTTTTCCTTTTTTCCTGATTTATATTCTTATCGTCGAATTTCCTTATCGTCTTGCAGGCCCTCGCCTTCCCTTAACCCTCCGCCGACCTCTTATCAGTCCTCTGATGCGCCTCTGTGTGCTGAGTCTAGGGACTTAGCATGTACGGTCGGCGAGGTGGCTATGAGGGAGACATGGTTCCCTAAAGATCACGCTGCTGCTGACTCGGTGGCTCTGGAAGTGATCGTGGCCATGGTGGTGGGTTCTTCTAAAGAGGTAGCCGGAGCTTCCCAGGATATGGCCCTGGCCTTGCCTTCTTCACATCGGGCGGCTTCTCCCTCTGCTCCTCTTGGAACCGGTGATCAGCGCTTGGACGATGATGTGCTGCAGCAGTTTGACGCCACTCATCGGTTATCAGAGCTGACTGCTGCCTGGGGAGCCTTTGCGACTTCTTTTGGGGAAAAGCTCTAGGTAAGTTTTTCTGAAGTTCTTTCTTTGGATGTTCATCTTTGTCTTATTCTTATGCCATTTCTCTCTCTCTCTCTCTCTCTCTCTCTCTTTGCTCAGTCTTTTTCTTGGGATCATACTGACTTCTTTTTCTCGTCTAAAACTGAGAAAAAGTTGTCTTCTGAGGTGAGCACCCTAAAGGCAGAGCTTGACCTCTGTCGGGCCGAGTTGGAGACCGAGCATCAGACGCATCAGAAGGAGGAGAAGGCTCTCCATGCCCGGGTGGTTGAGGCAGAGAAGCAGAGGGATTCAGCTGCCCAGGAGGCCTTGAAGACCATGGAGGCCATGAAGAAAGAGTGCAATGGTATTGCGGGTTCTTTTTCGTTTCCTTTCGTATTCAAATTTCCCTTTTTGCTGACTTGTTTTTGTTGCCTGGTCTAGATCTCCGAGTTGAAAAGCAGAAGCTCTCGGAGGGTTTCGAGGAGATGAAGACACTTGTTCGCACTAACCACAACAGGGCTGAGGAGGTAATTACTTGAGCTGAAGAAGAACTCGCGCTTGCTAAGTTGATTAGGCGTGGAGCTGATAGGGATCTTGTGCAGGCCCAAAAAACTATCGAAGTCTTGACTGGCAAGTTGGCGACGGCTACTGAGAATTGGAATGCCTTGTGGAAATCTTTTCGGTCAGTAGCCGACCTTCTCCGGGCTCCAGCAGATGATGGTCAACCTTGGGCTCAATTTATTCCCCAAGTTCTGACTCATTTCCAGGAGTTCGTGAAGAGGTGCACCCGCTTATGTACCAGAAATGTTCTTGCCCAGGTCTGGGTTCTTGCTCCGGAGTTCCCTTTGTCCAAGGTTGCAGAGGAAGCCAAGAGTCAAGAGTATCTGGATACTGTTGAAAAGGTGGAGCCTGAGGTCAAAGATTTAGCCAGTAGGATTGCGGACAATCTTAATATTGATGTTTCTTCTCCTGATGACGATGCTTGATGTAATCGACCTTTGTACTTCCAGCCTCTGTAATAGGATATTATACTTCCTTTTGAATGAAGATTCTTTATTTTTGTTCATGTCTTCTTTGCCTGGATGTCTTCGCCTTGCTTGTTCGTGATCAGAATTTTCTCTGAGTAGTTGTTTGTTCTGGCTTTCATTTGCGTTGTGTAGATCACTCGGTGTAGATCATTGTCTTGATAAACTTTTTTGATCTGTCGAGTGCTTGTCTGGCTTTTGTCTGCGCCGTGTAAACAACTCGGTATAGATCGTTGTCTTGACAAACTTTGTGTTCTTGTCAGTACTGAAAAGACTTAGGACCGGCGATCTCAAGTATCTTCAGCTTCTTCTTTTCAGCTTTTCGCTTAACTCGAGATGTGGTCAGCATCTGGTCCTTTTCCTAGTTGCAAAAATATCTCAGGATCGATAAGCCCCCGAGCACTTCATGGTTGAGTTCTGGAAGCCTCGTCTTGTTCCTTCAGGTCCTGCCGAGTAGGTACAAGCGTCGTCTGAGTGCTTTCCTGAGCGAAACCATGTAGCGCTTCTTGGCATCTTCGAGTGGTTTGTGCCTTTTGAGTACATCCATCTGAGTGTAGCCCCTGAGCCTCTTGCTTTTTGGCACAAAAAGCTGGAGGAGGGTCTTGTCTTGAAATTGCTCTGATTTATGCTCAGGCTTAGTTTCAGTCGTTTTGCTTTTTGGTTTGGGTGTTAGCTTATTAGCTACCCTCATCGGCGGGCTTAAGCATCTTTTCAGCTCTTTTGCTCTCGGCCGGTATGCTTAGGCGTATTTTCAGCCATTTTGCTTTTTGATTCGGGTGTTAGCTTGTTAGCTACCCTCATCGGCGGGCTTAAGCATCTTTTCAGCTCTTTTGCTCTCGGTCGGTATGCTCAGGTGTATTTTTAGCCATTTTTTTTGTTTTGGTGTTAGCTTGTTAGCTACCCTCATCGGCGGGCTCAAGCATCTTTTTAGCTCTTTTGCTCTCGGCCGGGATGCTCAGGCGTATTTTCAACCATTTTGCTTTTTGTTTCGGGTGTTAGCTTGTTAGCTACCCTCATCGACGGGCTCAAGCATCTTTTTAGCTCTTTTGCTCTCGACCGGTATACTCATTGGAAACAACTTAGGGAAAGCCATAATAGGACATGTGTTGTTGAAAAACCATCTTTATTGATCATGAGCATTGATAAGCCATAATAATACACATGTTGTCGAGGAACACCATCTTTATTGATCATGAACATTGATCTCTTGTGGCTTGTATATATATTCTTCCTTGAGTTGTTTTCAAGCGTAGAATCTTTTTAGCTAGCTGATGTGCCATGTATTGTTGACTTCTTTTCCATCTTCAGTTATCAACTTGTACGTGCCTGATCCGGTGACTTTTGCGATAATAAAAGGACCTTCCCATGGACTAAGTAGTTTATGACGTCCGTCAGGTTTTTTGTATTCTTCTTAGTACCAGGTCTCTGACTTTTAGTGACCGAGGCTGGGTATTCTTGTTGTAGTGGCGTCTTAATCCTTGGAGGTATCTTGTTGATTGAAGGGTAGCGTTTACTCTGACTTCTTCTGTACTGTCGAGTTCTAATCTTCGGGTGTGTTCTGCTTCTCCTTTGTCATATTGTTCTATCCTTGGTGACATCCAGATCAAGTCGGCAGGTAGTACGGCTTCTGATCCGTAAACTAGGAAGAAAGGCGAGTATCCGGTGGCTCTGCTTATTTGAGTTCGTAGCCCCCATATGACCTTGGGTAATTCTTCAATCCATTTTGATCCGTAGTCCACTAGTTCTTCATACAATCTTGGTTTTAATCGGCTAGTATGAGTCCATTAGCCCTTTCTACCTGTACGTTGGCCTCTAGATGTGCGACTGACGCGTAATCTATGTTGAAGCCACACACTACTAAAAAAGTGCACATCTGAGACGATCTAATAATGTCATAGTAAATGCTAAAAGCGTCATGGAAAGATATCTGTGATGAAGTTATGACAAAATTCTGTTCGTCATCTTTGTAGCGTCACAAATGTTGCACTGTGACGATTTGTCGTGTTTCATCATAGATAAGTTTACATCTGTGATGATTTGGGCACCATCACTGAACTATTTCAGCAAGCGTTGTAGTGGACACGTGTATGACGGTAATGTTGACGCGTTTCATTCGCTCAGGACGACACGTGTCTTAAGCTAAGGTTTACACGTGTGTGACTATGAGTATGGCACGTGTCCTAAAATAAGGTTGACACGTGTTTCAATATGAGGTCGACACGTGTATGTTCTGTGAGGTCGACACGTGTATTTCTGAGAGGTTGACACGTGTATTTCTGAGAGGTTGACACGTGTATTTCTGAGAGGTTGACACGTGGCATTATCTTAATGCTGGCGATGACGTGGCAGTGCATGAACGATGACGTTTTTTCGTCATAAATTCTTTGATTGGATAAAATACAGGCTACAGTCGTGCCTGATCACTCATTCCAGAAACAAAACATAATTTACCACATACAACAATTCATACATCATACACAGTTTATACATCACATGTTTAAATGTTCTCACAACCAAAGTTCCCAAACACAGGGGAACCACAAACACAGGGGAACCACAAGTTCCATAGGTTCACATCACTTGAACCACAAGTTCACAAACAAGTTCCACAGACCAGGCAATCACAGAATAAGTTCACAAGCGACAACTGACAGACCAAGTTCAGCAACTTATTATGAGTACCAGCAGTAGTGACACGAGTACCAGCAGTAGCGACACGGCCCAGCACAACCATGGACTGCAGAGGAACCTAGGCAGGACAGGAACAAGCTAAGTAGCTCGATTACCTGAGTTGAGGCCCAAGATGCGCTGAAGGATCATATCATTAGCTTCTTGTTTCTTCTTGAACTCCTCCAGCTCTTGCTGGTTCTTGAGCACAACTTCTTGGGTCCTGGCCATGGATTCTTCTGTTTCTGCAGCTTTCTTCTTCAGATGGACTAGTTGTTCTTCAAGATTATCAGCCCGTTCCTTCTCCGCCTGTAGCTGTTCCCGAAGTTGTGCCTCTCTTGCAGCTAATGCAGTAGACTTGCTTACTGGTGTTTCAATACCAGCATTCTTGAGGAATGTACAAGCTGCACTGGTTTGTGAGAGAACCTTCAAAACTATCTCAGTACTAGATCTTGGTGTCTCCAAGTCTTCTAAACATCTACTGCTCTACAAATTGCAAGCAATGGGAGGGGACAATACCTCTAAGTAGCTGAAGTAACCACCCTAGCACGCCGCCAATGCACACCGAAGCAGCTACGCTGCTGCAGGTGCTCCCCGGAGCAGCCCGCTAGGCCACCAGAGGAGCTGCCCGCCAGCGCATCCCGTACCAGCTAGGCTGCTAGAGCGGTTCGCTGGAGCTGTCCGCCGAAGAGGCTCGCCGTAGATGCCCGAGAGGCACGCCGCTGGTGGAGAACCTACTCTGCAGCAGATGCCTGCTGGAGCAGCCCGCTACATCGCCAGAGCAGTTGCCCGCCAGCGCATCCCATACCAGCTAGGCTGCTAGAGCGGTTCACCGGAGCTGGCCGTCGGAGAGGCTCACCGCCAACGGAGAACCTACTCCCGCCCTCTGCCGGATTTGGGTTGGGTTTTGATCTGGGGGCAGCACGATTGGATTGGGTTTGAGTCATAGAACTGATTCAATAAACGAATAAGAAAAAAAATTCATCTCTAAGCATGACCAAAGTCACGTTTCGATGGTAAGGCGACTTGACTCACGAGTGAAGGGTCTTTGGTTCGATTCGTGCACCGCACATTTTTTAATATATGAATTATTCAAATAGATAATAAATTCATGTTCCCCCACTGTAACACGTCTAAATTAAGTAGTGTGATGGTAAGCCATCTTGCTTGGGAAGTGCAGGTCCTAGGTTCGATTCCTAGGCACCGCACATTTTTTTAATTTCACTTTTATGACGAAATTTTTGGGGTGTGTGTGGGACCTCAACGGTGAAAACTCTTGAGCTTCACTTCTATGACGAAGTTCACAACATTTCTATGATGATTTCTTCTACTTTGTCACAATTGAACAAAGGGGTTGATGCCCAAACCGGTCATCCATGACGAATAACAAAATTTCGTCATTGATGAACCTTGTTCAGTGACCAAATTTGGGATCGTCATACCCAAAACGTCATAGATGAAAGGATTTCTAGTAGTGACAGTCCTGTGCCCAACTTTGGAATTCTGTGGCTGTGAAGGAAGAACCTAAATCTATGATGATTTGATTGGGCATGCCGAAGCGGTGCATAATGTCTTGGATGAACTCGACTGCTTTGGCTGTGCTGTATTTTGCGAGTGGCTTGTATTCAATCCACTTGGTGAACTTGTCGATTGCTACAAAGATGTACTCGAAACCGCCTTTTGCTTTCTTGAGAGGTCCTACTTGATCCAACCCCCAGCAGGAGAAAGGCCAAGCGGGTGGGATGCAGATGAGATTATGAGCTGGCACGTGAGCTTGTCTTGCGAACATTTGACAACCTTTGCATTTTCTGACGAGTTCTTCTGTGTCTTTCAAAGCGGTTGGCCAGTAGAATCCAGTGCGGAATGCCTTGCCTACTAGTGTTCTTGAAGCGGCATGATTTCCACAGCAGCCTGAGTGTATTTCATCTAAGATCTCTTTGCCTTCTTCAAATGAGACACATTTTAGGAGTACTCCTGATGATGTGGCTCTTTTGTAGAGCTTGTCCCCCACTAGGACGTAGTTCTTGCTTCTACGAACAACTCGGGTAGCTTTCTCTTTATCTACTGGCAACTTATTCTCTTTGATATAATCAATAAAAGCCTGTGTCCATGAGGTGTTGATTACCAGAATCTGGTTGCCTTTGGCTGGGAGTTCTGGGTTTATCTCATCGGGTTGTTTGATAGAGGGAGCTGATAACTCCTCTATGAATACACCGGGTGGGACCTTCGCCCTATCCGATCCGAGCTTGGCGAGGACGTCTGCCGCAATATTAGAATCGCGTAGGACATGTAGAATTTCCAACCCTTGAAAATGTTTTCCGAGCTTTCATATTTCAACATAGTAAGCACCCATGTTTTCTTTGGTGCAGTCCCAATATTTGTTAACTTGGTTGATGACTACTGCCGAATCGCCGTATATGAGTAATCGTTTGATTCCGAGGGTAATTGCCACTCGGAGCCCATGGATGAGGGCTTCGTATTCTGCTTCATTGTTCGTAGCTTGCCATAATATCTGAATGACGTACTTGAGTTGTTTTCCGTCTAGAGAAATGAGGAGAACGCCTGCACCGGCTCCCCCTAGCTTGAGTGACCCATCAAAGTACATCTTCTAGTGGTCAAGGATGGTATTTGACATAGGTTGTTGAATCTCTGTCCACTCGGCAACAAAATCGGCAAGGGCTTGAGATTTAATTGCCTTCGTGGGGTGAAATCGATATTGAGAGCACCAAGTTCAACTGCCCACTTAGATATGCGCCCTGTTGCGTCTTTGTTGTGCAAGATGTCTCCGAGTGGGAAATCTGTCACCACGGTAATTTTGTGGCTTTCAAAATAGTGGCGAAGCTTGCGTGAAGTGATCAGGAGGGCGTAGAGTAGTTTTTGCACATGCGGTTACCGGATTTTTGATTCTGATAGTACTTCGCTGATGTAGTATACGGGGCGTTGTACTTTGTACACGCGCACTTCTTCTTCTCTTTCTACGACTATCGCCGTACTAATCACAGTAGAAGTTGCCGCAATGTATAGCATCATGTCTTCATATTTCTTTAGAGGTGTGAGAACGGGCGAGGAGGTGAGGTACGCCTTGAGCTTTTTGAAAGCTTCGTTGGCTTCTTCTGTCCACTCAAACTTATCTTTCTTCTTTAGTAGTTTAAAGAAAGGTAACTCTTTTTTGCCAAGTCTTGATATGAAACGATTAAGGGCCGCCATGCAACCTGTTAGTTTCTGTACATCTTTGATACTTCGAGGAGGGCCCATCTCTATTATGGCTCGAATTTGCTTGGCGCTGGCTTTGATTCCACGATGACTGACCAAGAATCCGAGTAGTTATCCTGAAGGAACTTCGAATACACACTTATTTGGGTTCAATTTCCACCTCCATCTTTTCAGGTTCTCAAAGGTTTGCTTTAAGTCTTCAATTAGTGTGTCTGGGTTCTTTGTTTTTACTACCACGTCATCCATGTATGCCTCTACGTTCTCTCTGATCTGATCACCGAGGCATGTTTGGATAGCTCTTTGATAAGTGGCACCAGCATTCTTGAGTCCAAACGACATGGTCTTGTAGCAGTAGGCACCAAACGGAGTGATGAAAGATGTCTTGCTCTGGTCTTGTTCCTTTAATGCGATCTGGTGATATCTTGAATAGCAGTCAAGAAAGGATAATAGGGCAGATCCTGCTGTTGAATCAACTATCTGATCAATGCGTGGTAGGCCGAACGGATCTTTTGGGTAGTGTTTGTTGAGATCTGTGTAGTCGACACACATGCGCCACTCGTCCGTATTCTTTTTCTGTACTAGAACTGGGTTTGCTAGCCAATCTGTGTGAAGGATTTCTCTGATGAATCCGGCTGCCATTAGCTTTGTGATTTCTATTTTGATTGTTGCCTTCTTGTCGGGTGAGAATCGTCATAGCCGTCGCTTCACAGGCTTGGAGCCTTCATTGATATCAATTCTGTGCTCAGCCAACTCTCTCGGGACACCTGGCATGTCAGCCGACTTCCAAGTGAAGATATCTTTGTTGTCCCAAAGAAAGTTGGTGAGCGCGAGTTCCTATTTTGCCGAGAGGTGGGCGCTGATGGTTGCCGTTTTGGAGGGATCACCAGTGCCCAGGTCGATTTGCTTGACGTCGACTTCTTTTGGTGGTGCGAGGATGCTAGGTTTTTTAGCTGGTATCTCTAGTTCTTCTGGGTTTATTTCTGCTGTAATAGTGGCTATTTCTTTTCTACCATTAGTAGCTTATGCTTTTGCTGCAATTTGGATTGCCTGAACGTCGCAGTCAAAAGCGCGCTTTAAATTACTTTGAAGGGAAAGGACACCGTTAGGCCCTGGCATCTTAAGCAACAGGTATGGATAATGCGGTATTGCCATGAATTTTGCTAGTGCTGGGCCCCCGAGGATTGCGTGATATGATGAATCGAAGTCTGCAACTTCAAACTAGATGAACTCTGTACGGTAGTTTGAGGGAGTTCCAAAAGTAACCGGTAGAGTAATTTGTCCAAGTGGCATGGCTGCCTTGCCGGGTACTACGCCATAAAAAGGGGTACTCGTTGGTGTAATCATCTCGGTGAGTTGTAGTCCCATCTTCCTTAGCATTTCTGAAAAGATGATGTTGAGTCCAGCTCCTCCGTCGATTAGTACTTTGGTGACAGTCATACCGGCAATAGTTGAATCTAGAACTAGTGGGTAATGGCCTGCGTTTCCTACGTTAGTCCATTGGTCTTCTCTTGAGAATTGGATTGGATACTGTGACCAATTGAGATATCTTGGAGTAGCCGGTTCTGCTGCCATGATGGTTCGTAGGGCTAGCTTTTCTTGATGTTTGCTTTTAGAATCTGGGGCCCCGGTGAAGATCACTGCTACTATCCCCCTAGATTTTTGGAATCCTTTGTCTTCGTGGTTGTCTTCTTCTTTTTTCTGACTGTCTTCTTTAGTGTTCCCCTTACTATCTTTCCTTATGTATCGTTCGTTGAAGGTGTAGCAATTTCCGATGGTGTGCTTTCCATTGGGGTGTAAGATGCAATGCATGCTTTCAATGTCGTCATACCTTCTGGGTTTTGAAAACTTTTTTGATTTGTCAGCCACCGCTATTGTGTTGTCTGGTCCACGTTTTCTTTCCTGATGTCTGTTGTTTCGATGATTTTGCTTGTCCGGTTGTCTCGGTTGTTTCTATCCGGGAACCTTTCTCGTGTCTTCTCCTCTGCAGTAATCATCTTTTCTACTGTTCGTTCGAATTCTTCATTGTTTCTCAGGTTTTCTTTGCAGAAATCTTGAAATTGCCACCTAGCCATGATTCCGTGAGAGAAAGCTTCGATTACTTCTCGTTCGGTGATGTCATGTACTTGAGCTCGTAGTTCGCCAAATCATCGATAGTAATTTATGAGACTTTCACCTCCTTTCTGCTTGAGTCCTTTTAACTCTGCGTGGGAGATTGGGTGTGTAATGATACCCATGAAATTTTTGTAGAAAGCTTTTTGCAAGTCCTCCCAATTTCTGATTGATCCTGAATTCAATTTATCAAACCATTGAAGGGGCATGGTTTGTAGGGCCATGGGAAAGAACAAGGTCTTGATATCATTGTATCCTCTAGCCAGTTCAATCGATTGCGAGTAAATCCTGAGCCACTGCCTTGGTTCGGTCTTGCCATCATACTTAGAGTGGTTGGACGGTTTGAACTTGTGAGGTAGTCGTATTGAAGCAAGTCTGTTTGCAAAATAGGGGAATCTATTGTGCGTTCTAGCTTCTGTGTATTCTGATTCAACACCTCCTTCTTTCCAATTGTTGTTTTGGCGAGAGTAGTTCTGTGTGGCTGTCTGAATAGGCGCTCTGCTTCTGACCTTCCTTGGTTGTTCGACTCGGTCGTTTTGACTATGGTCCCTTCTACTTTCTCTGTTGTGACTTCCACTTGGTCCAAGTCTCTCGAAAGCGGACTTCCTTTGACTTTGATCTCCCT